ATAAGGAGTATAAAATGATAAATATTTACTAGGACACAGTGACACAAAGTATAAGATAAAAACATGGAGAATAACAACTAAGTTTAATACTTTAATGTTTTGCCAATTAAGTATTTAACAGTGAGAGAGACCTTGCCATCTCTTAAAGCAACATTTAACCACAGAGAGGCCTTGCCATCTCTAAAAGTAAACACTCAATCACAAGAGAGGCCTTGCCATCTCTTCGCTGTAATTAGAACATGTGCCTTGCAATTATGTTCTTTTGGGGGTCTTTTTCTTGGTTCCCAAACACAGTATTGCAACTCAAGGCTTGAACTCTTTCTTCAGCTCTTTCAGCTTGTGAAATGCTGAGTGTGTTTTTCCCTTTTGGTTTTCTAACTCCAGGTCTTTGCACATTTCATTATAATAATTGGCTTTGTCATCTTGAACTGCTCTTTGTAATCTCTGTTCATCTCTTTTATCTCATCATTGTTTCCATTTGCTTTAGCTACTCTCTGCTCAAGGGCAAGTTTCAAAGTCTCTTCTGACATCCATTTTAGTGTTCTCTTCTTTTATCATCTTTTCATGACCTCTTGCTTTCTTCATGGATGATGTTCTTGATGTCATCCCATAATTCCTCTGGTTTTCAGTCATTGGTATTTAATGCATCAAATCTATTCTTTAGATGGTCTCTAAATTCAGGAGAGATATAATCAAGGTCATATTTTGGCTCTCATGGACTTCTTTTAATTTTCTTGAGCTTCAACTTGAACTTGCATATGAGCTGTTGATGGTCTGTTTCGCGGTCATCTCATGCATTGTTTTGGCTCAAGATATTGAGCTTCTCCATGGCCTCTTTCCACAAATGTAGGCAATCTGTTTTTTGTGTCCTCCATCTGTAGACATCCACATGTATAGCCTCTGTTTATGTTGTTTGAAAAAGATATTTGCAATGAATAAATTGTTGGCCTTGCAAAATTCTATCATGCGATCTCCGGCATTATTTCTATCACCAAGGACATATTTTACAACTACTGGTGGTTCTTCTTTGTTTCCAACTTTTGCATTCCAATCACCAGTGATAAGTAACACATCTTGATTACGTATTTGGTCAATTTCAGACTTCAGAAATTGGTAAAAATCTTTAATTTCCTCATCTTTGGCCTTGGTGGTTGGTGTGTAAATTTGAATAATAATAATAATAGTTCCAGGCTCTAGGGGCTTGGTGAAAGCCCCTTAACCTTGGGGTTCAGCTCTGCCTCCTGCTTCCAGCCCACTGGAGTTACAGGCTTTTCTTCACTCAGACAGCTGCTGGCTGCTGAGACTGACAAACCCAAGGCTGACAAGTAAAAAGGCACAGTCTCGATGTTACCAAACCACACAGCAGGCCATTTATTTAAGTACATTGAAAGTCCCAAGGTCAGCAGAGTGTGGCAGGCTGCTAAACAACTCATCCACATGCAGGGTTCAAGTGTGGCACAAGCTAGAGACCATTCCTGTTTTGGTTACCTAGTGCCACTCTGATAGAAATATATCACAAATGGGATGACTTGAACAAACAGGAGTTTATTCTCTTATAGTTAGGGAGGCTAGAAGTCCGAGTTCAAAGTACCAGGCTCTAGGAACTGTGTGAGAGTCCCTCAACCTTGGACTTCAGCTCTGCCTCTTGTTCCCAGCCCACTGAAGCAAGAGGCATCTCTTCACTCAGGCAGATACTGGCTGCTGAGGCTAACAAGTCCAAGGTTGACAAATGAAATGGCACAGTCCTGATGTTACAAAATCACACAGTAGGCCATTAATTTCAAATCCATTGTAAGTCCCAAGGTCGGCACAACATGGCAGGCTGCTGAATAATGACTTGGCTACATGCAGGGTTCAAGCATGCCATAGACTAGAGACCATTCCCAAAGCTTTATACCATCCACATTAAGACTGGCTCTACTCTGAAGAAGCAGCTCTTTCCCAGTTGTATTTTGAGTGCCTTCAAACCTGAGGCGCTCATCTTCTGGCACTATATCAGACAATGTTTCAGGGTTATTTATAAAGTTTTCCAGTAATATATCAGACATTGTTTCACTGCTATTCATAAGGTTTTCACTGGCCAATTCCTTGAAAAGTGGATGGCCTCTTCCTTCTTCCAAGTCTGCCTTAGTCTGGAAGTTCCACAGAAACCTGTCTACCATGGGTGACCCTGCTGGTATTTGAAATGCTGGTGGTACTTTCTCCAGCCTCACAGCAATATGCTAGCCACCACAGTATGACAAACTGACAAATTGTGTCCCAAGTGACTTAGACTAGAATAATACAAAGCACATAATAACATAGAAGCACTAGAATTAAAATTTTAAGCTATATACAATGAAATTATGTTAATACTTGCTGTTTTATCTTTTCATTAGGCTTGCAACTGCAGTTTGGTGGGATCCCTCGATTTCCAATGCAATATAAACACAGGCCAATGCAAATGTCATCCGAAATTCTCTGGTACAAAATGTGCAGAGTGCAATCTAGGTCACTGGAATTACCCTCACTGTGATCTCTGTGACTGCTTCCTACCTGGGACTGATGCCACAACCTGTGACATGGAGACTAAGAAATGCTTATGTAGCGACCAGACTGGGCAGTGTACTTGCAAGGTTTGTGCCACCAAAATACAACCAGGGAATTCTAGCTTAATTCCATGCCAATTGTTCCCTTTCAACTTCATTCAGTGTTCATTATCCCTGCTTCTGTAAGCTAAACATACAGATAAACAAACTCAAATTCCTTGCTAGATATAGAGTTTTCATTGATATATATTCATCAGCATATAGCTAAGCACTGCTTTTCAATAGCTTATAGTCAATCAAAACCTAGGTTTTTTGTCCTAGTTGATAGAAATGATATATTTTCATGGAAAAAAAATTAAATTACTTCTTTATATGCATTTGTTTTCTTAAATGAGAATATTCTAGGAAAAAAAAAAAAAAAGACGATTCTCTTAAGCTCATCAGAAGAATCATTGCTTATGCTTGAATAATGTCTAGAAAGATCAGCAGAAGGCCAGTTCCTATGAGGCAGACATTAAAGATGTCCCAAATGTCCAACTTTTCCAAACTCTCATGCTACTCCATCATCTCTGACATCAACTCCTGCTCCTCCCCTCAATAGTCTCCCTCCCGTCTTAGGGTTCTGTAGTTCACTGTAATGTCTCACAGAACTTACAAACTCCCAAGGAAATGTGTCACATAGTGGTAGTGGAGGCTGGCAGACTAGCAGGCTGGCAGGTCCCAGGTCTGTGGGTAGGTGTGGAAGATTCTCCCAATTCATGTGGTTGCAGGGGTTGGTGAGCCCAAATCAGCAGGTCAGATGACAGCTGTTGTCTCAAGTCCAGGAGTGAGATGATGACAAACCAAATGCAGAACCGGAGCAAGAGACAGTGGACTTTTCCAGAACATTGACATATAAAACCTCAAAGAAACTAAGTGTGGTGACTTGAGTCACACTCTCCAGCAAGCTGGGACTCAAGATGCATCCCACACTAAACAAGCATACTCACTGCCGTCCAGTTGGATCTGACTCATAGTGACACTTCCTTGGGTTTCTGGGGTGCTATCACTATGGAAGTAGATTACCCAGTCTTCCTTCCAAGGAGTGGCTGGTGGGTTTGAACCACTAGCGTTCTAGTTAGCAGTCAAGTGCCTTTAGGGACTATGCTACAATACATCACAAAATGGAGGACAATGGCTAGAAGGGCCATATTAGACAATTCACTGCACTGCAGGACTGCTAAAAGGACATGGGGTAGCATCTTCTAACTTCACAAGAGGGAGATGGAATCACCATCAGCACTCCAAGCCTTATTCCTATGAGGTCAAACATGTTGCCACCCTCCAATCTTTTTGCCAATTCTGACACCAGTTTTCCCTCCCATATCATTCCCTGCTTCTCTGCTGGGTTCGATAATTCATTGCAATGGCTACACAGAACTCACAGACAATTATGAGGTTTATTAGGGAGGTAATATATCACAATTCAGGTTCATGAACACTCTCAGGATACAATTCTTTGATCACAAGAGTCTGCCTTACTTGGGCAAGTGTTACAAGGCTCTTTTAGCTCTTCCTATGGGTAGGAAGATGGGGCAATCTACTTCCATAGTGACACCGCCTCAGAAACCCAAGGAGGGGTCACTATGAGTTAGGTCTGATCAACGGCACATAACAACAACAACATGGGTTCACCTAGGTGCACTTGACTCCATTAGCAAGCCTCTTGCCCAAGGCACTCAGCTTTCTTGCTCTGTGGGCCAGCTAACCCCACTGCTCTGTCTTGTTCCTCTTGGTTCTACAGTGACCATCTCTCTAAAAGGTGTCTTTCTCTGCCAGGGAGTCTCTCTTTGCCACTTGTCTCTCTCTGCCAGGTGTCTCTGCTAAGGAGGTCCAGTGCAGGGATCTCAGGTCCAAGGATGCATTACACATCACCTGCAGCTCTTCCCTCTTGATAGCCGTGAGATACCCCATCTGCCTAGGAAGGCTCATTTTAACCCTGGCAGAGTGACCAAACTAACCAAACCCAACATCAGAATTCTACACACCTTATTTGCATGGTCCCACCCATGGGACTTACAAAGATTATGGCTAGAAATGCTATACCAAGTAATTCACTGTCTTGTAGCTAATAACAAGTTTTTTTAGAAAAATGTTTTAATCTGCAATCACTGTATACTGAAAAATATATTTACTGCTGTGAAAATTCAGTAAAATTTCATCACGTATAAACATTGACATTACAAACAATGACTATCTGCAAGTTTCAGCCTTCATTAATATTGTTAAATGATGTAGAAAAATAGCCAATTAAAAAGGATAAGAGGGAAATTTTCTCCTTAGATATTGCTGAGAAAAATCAATCCAGGATAAATGCAGTTAACATTATATCAGAGTTATCTTTTCAAAATAAATTCTTTACAATAAAAAGTGGAAGAAACAGGAATATAAAATCTGTAGTCCTGAGATTTAAGAAAATGACAGTTTCTGCCATAAAAGGATGGTGCCAGTCATTAAAAAAAAATACAGTATTTGCTTATTGCATATCATAATAACAATTATACCCAAAACCCACCAGGACTAAGTCAGTTCCGACTCATATTAACCCTATAGGATAGAGCAGAATTGTCTCATAGTGTTTCCAAGGCTGTAAATCTTCACTGAAGCAGACTGCCTCATCTTTCTTCTGCTGAGTGGCTGGTGGGTTCAAACACCAAGCTTTTGGTTAGCAGCTTAATGCTTTAACCACTGCACTACCAAAGCTCCTACAATTATACAGTATATATAACATAATGTTATAAGTGTATATAAGGAGCTGAGTGGTATAAGTTGTTTACCAAAAAGTTGTCAGTTCAAACCCACCCAGTGGCTCCATAGATGAAAAGGCCTAGCAACCTGCTTCCCTAAAGATAACAGCCAAGAAAACACTATGGAGTAGTTCTACTCTGTTGCCATGAGGCTGCCATGAATCAAAGGCAGACTCAACAGCAGCTAACAACAATGTGTATGTATGTGTGTATGTGTGTGAGTGTGTGTGTGCACATGTATGTATAACACATAGCTATACTTACACATCTATTGGAGCCTTGGTAGGACAATGATTAAGTGCTTAACAGAAAGGTTTGCTAACGAAAGATCAGTGGTTCAAACCCACCAGCTGTTCCACAAGAGATATACGTGGCATTTTGCTTCCAGAAAGATTACAGCCTTAGAAACTCTATGGGGCAGTTCTATGCTGTCCTATAGGGTCACTATGAGTCAGAATCAACTCTATAGCAATGGATTTTTTGGTTATACATCTATCTATCTATCTATCTATCCATCCATCCATCTACCTACCTATTTCTCTCTCTCTCTCTCTCTCTCTCTCT